GGCACAAAGCACTTGGCTCTTCTTAAAGATAAGCCCAAGGCACAACATATGGTTCGATTCCATCTGCTCCTATCGACCATCATGTTAAAGCCCTTGGTACCTAATATGGATAAAACTAAGACACAACGACTCCTCAGTCGGCATAAAGCCCTTGGTACCTAATCTGGATAAAACCAATGCACAACGACTCCTTAGTCAGCACAAAGTCATTAGCTCTTCTTAAAGGTAAGCCCAAGGCACAACTTATGGTTCGATTCCGCCTGCTCTCATTGACCATCATGGTAAAGCCCTTGGTACCTTCTTTGGATAAAACCAAAGCACAATGACTTCTCAGTCGGCTTAAGGCCCTTGGCTCCTAATCTGGATAAAACCAAGACACAACGACTTCTCGGTCGGCATAAAGCCCTTGGTACCTAATTTGGATAAAACCAAGGCACAACAACTTCTCAGTCGGTACAAAGCCCTTAGTATCTAATCTGGATAAAACTAAGACACAACGACTTCTCAGTCGGCATAAAGCCCTTGGTACCTAATCTGGATAAAACCAAGACACAACGACTTCTCAGTCAGCATAAAGCCCTTGCCTCCTAATCTGGATAAAACCAAGACATAACAACTTCTCAGTCAGCACAAAGCCCTTGGTACCTAATCTGGATAAAACCAAGGCACAACGACTTCTCAGTCGGCACAAGGCCCTTGGTACCTTCTTAGGATAAACCAATGCACAACGACTTCTCAGTCGACACAAAATCCTTGGTACCTAATCTAGATAAAACCAAGGCACAACGACTTCTCAGTCGGCATAAATCCCTTGGCTCCTAATCTGAATAAAACCAATGCACAACGACTCCACAGTCGGTACAAAGTCCTTGGCTCCTCATCGGGATAAGCCCAAGGCACAACCCTAAGGACGATCTCAATAATTATGACCAAATAGGGGAATGAGGGCGTCGACACTCATCCCGCATATGTTATCTAGTCTATAAGGATCAACATTATTCTTGAAAAGAAAGCGGAGTCACAATACGATCAACTATTTCCTCAAGCATTTGCAACTCTCAAAAGCAAAAGATAGGAGAAATCATTTCCCATTCAAAAAAGAATTTCATACATTCTCTACCAAAAGACCCGGTAGGGCCCACAAAAAAAAGAAAAAAGAAAAAAATAGCAAATAACAAGAACTCCTTCCTAAGGCTCAGAACCACCGCACCCAAAATCCTTCCTCATTTTCTTCAAAGGCCTCCTGGAAGAACTCGGCTCCTCTGAGTCGGCCCCTCTTTTACAGACCTCCATTGGTGGAGGAAGGATCGTCGCTGCAGAGTCGGAGGAAGACGAGGAGGACCCTCTTATCTCTGGGAATTCCTCTTCGTCCAGAGCTCTGGACTCCTAAAGACCGAGGTGATGTCACAGCTTCTCAAGATCTCCAGCCTCAAGATCACTAAGGGACCTCGGCTCCAACATGTTCTCCTGCACTTCAGGCTAACCTGAGCAGGATAGTATGTCGTTGGCGCCAAACACCCAGACAAAGAACTTTTTCCATTCTTTGTTCAGCTCTGGGAAATTAGCGTCCAAACGAAAATCGCTCCGACAATGGAAAAGATAGTGCGGGTCTCCCTCAACAAACCCCACACTAACCACATGCCCAAGCAAACTAACGCTGGACACCACTTCCACCTCGGAGCAGGCGTCTATGAACGCCATCAAGATATAAATGGCATGTGGATGAAATTGGCAGAGGAAAATCCCCAAAGCCGTAAAAACTTCCCTTACGAAGGGATGTAGCGACATGCACAATCCACACTGTAGATACACCAGATAGAGCACCCAATCCTCACCATGCATATGCACCAGAGTAAGACTGTTCGGTGCCCCTATGATCATTGCCCGAGAGATATCGTACTTATCATGCAACGAAGTTGCCTCATCCAAAGTCATCCTCGACCTAGACAGGAAGAAGACCATAAGTTTCTTCTCACGGTCATTTTGAGGAAAGGCCATAGTAAAAATCTCTTAAGGAGTCAAAGGAAGAATCAACAATAAGAAATGTTCCTGATGCAGAGTGTTCTTCCAAAACAGCGCCAGGAATTATTTATAAGCCTCCAAGAGGCATACAGAAGGATCCAAGAGGCTCAATCCTAGAGCAACTAAGGAAGATCTGTTTTGAAACCTGGAAACGAATCACTCAAAAATGCCAATCGCCACTCGTAACTCACGCTAATCAATTGGCAAGTAAAGGTGCCACCCACGACCCCTCGTTTTCTCTAAAAAAGTAGTTCCCGATATCGACATCATCAACCCACAGAAGATTGGCGGTTAGCAAGTTCTACGCCATGTCTCCTGACATGATCAACTGGCTAAAATATCCCAACACCTTGAGCAAACTCATATCCATTTTATTCAGACCCGACTAAAGTCAGCTTCAAATGAAAGGGGCCAACTGTTATGATAATTTACCATCTACAAATAAAGATGTCGGGAGATTGACTGCATAGGCTTAAAAAGGGAATGGTCCAAACCGGCTTAGAAGCCCAAAAGCCTAGTCAGGGGCAAGTCTATCGGCCAGCCAAGCAGACGAGTCACCTTTCGACCAAGGGTCATCATTACCGACTCGAAGTGCAGGACTAGTCGGTCACTCATAATTAAGATAACTCCTCGAGCAGACGTCTCGACCATACACTCGGCCCAAAGCTCACTCGACTATCGAGTCAACAAATCATAATAATGACTCACAAAATCAACCCGCCTCAACTAAGGGGATAAGATCCGACTAAGCTCACTTCAGATGTCAATCGGCACTACAGCATTGATCAGTCCCATCGAGATCTTCGCTCTTACAAATCCCATGCATAAGCCCTTTATTCTCCTCACAAGTCACTTCCCAGAGATCGCCATGATGCTCTCCTGGGCTCTAATAGTTTTCCCTCCAATCACCAACCGCCATCTAGAGGGAGGAGGACGACCAAGTAGCTGGTCTATCCTCTGCCCTGCCTTATTTGTCAAATCCAGGATACTGAGAAGATTTTTTTCTCCTGTACCTGAGTGACTTCCCTTCCAATCACCAGTCGCCATCTGGAAGGGGAAGGATGACTCAGCTACCTGTCCATTCACCCCACAACCTCCTCCTGTGCATAGTCAAAGTCAAGGATCAAACTCTCAGAGGCAATGGGCTATAAAAAGGAGGAAAAGAAGGTAACGAAAGAGGGGAGATCATTTTTGCTGCTACTTTATTAAAGCTCTGATTTTTATCTTTAAAAAAGAGAACTAATAACTCCCAAAGAGTATCCTCTAGGGATATCAATGGCCCAGAGACTCTCCCTCAAACCCCACTCAAGTCCCCCAACTGACTTGACCGTTAGAGGTACTATGGGGGAAATGAGCCCCGTCCTCCTACGAGTTTCTCCTTGTATGTACAGTAGGATCGGGAATTTCAGTCTAAGGATCGGACATAAAGTCAGAAGAGGAGTCGGCCCCATCTCTCATCCTCTCCCTATCCGCCGCCAGTACGAAGACTAGAACCGCAACCCCATCGACTGTGTGTTCACGGACATCAACAGAAGGGAAAAACCTATCTCCCGATTTTGAAATGAGTCCTCCTACCGGGTCTACTCCTACCGATCATACCGATGTTAATCCCGGATCCGGTGATGACGATTCTACACCAAGAGCTCCTAAAAGGCTGAGATCCGATGTGTGAAATTTTTACGAGAAGATAGACGTCATCAAGGATGAACACGGTAGGATCCTCACGCAGAAAGCTAAATGTGCGTTGTACGGTAAGATTTTCCAATCTCATCATAAGAGCACCACCAACCACCTCAAACGCTATTTAGATAAACACAATAGAGGTCAGACGCCTCAAGGTGATATCTGACAATCTGTGATCTCACAATCCTCAACTTCTGGTGGTCGCATCATTCAAGCTAAACAAAGTCTGAAATCGCATCATTCAAGCTAAGGAGGATATGCCTATGGCTATGAAGAGCCAACATAGGCGTAGCCCTCAAGGGCTCCAACAGCTTTCTGGGGAGTATTTGCCAAGCAGAACCTAGAAAGCCCTCCTGGAGTTTGCGGGAAAAACTCCAAGGGCCACCTGATGATCGCCTCCTCGGGAAATCTGGCTCTGGCCCCTAGTAGCTATTCGAACCACCAAAGTTGAAGGAAGAACTGGTGGTTGAAGCATGTGACTTGTACTCGACCTACAAAAGAAGGCTCCTCCCATCGTAGGATGGTCTGGTCATTGATATCTCTGTAATCCCCAAGAGGGATCCATGGTTTTGTCAAATTCAAGGGAGAAAAGCATCGGCATCTGGGGTTTCACCAACAAGAAGCCCCCCATCACAAAAGTTACACGTGCCTCCTCCTGTTGAGCACCATCCTCCAAAAAGTTCAATCCACAGGACGCTGGCCATGAAGGGAAACCAATGGTGATGAAGCAAAATCGGCTAAAAAATTACCACATCCACCATCAGCCGAAATGATGATCGACACCGCCCATCGTGATTTTCACTCATCATGATTTATACGTAGAATTTTTTTTTAGACTTTTAACTATTGTTTTAGCTATATGTAGAACATACGGCTATTAAGCTGCCTGAAAAATTAATACATCGAACTAGTTTGATTCATACTCTAGAAGACTCTAAGTTATGTGAAAATTTTACGATATATATTTGATGATGTGTTGAACAAGATGTATGGTGCCGACCATGAATTTGATGAGCCAATTAGGTTATCTCATGATAAGATTTGAGCTCATCATCTCACGGTATCATTACTATATGTATATACATACACTAACGCACGGGTTTTTGAACATAGTACATGTTGTTTATTCATATATAACTATCAGACCTAAATTCATCTTTCTTTCACATTAATAAACCCTAAGATCCACAATTACATTGGTTTCAGCCAATCTAACACAAGCTACGTTGACGACACTGTCAACACCATTCAAACTGTCAACCCTTAAATCAAACCCACAAACTAGCTTCTCCTAGTTACGGCCCTCTCCCTTCTCCTTTATTCCCGTCCTCCCCCAATATCTCCTCCAGCGACCTCCCCTTCGTCTCCATCACCAAAAACGTACAAAAGAACCCCAACAGATTCGTAAACACAAGAAACAGCAAAGCCGCTCTAATCTGCTCCGTGTCCCCATCCAATGTAAAACTCCGCACCCCAAACGCACCCACTACCGCACCCGCTTTCCCTGCCGCTGCACTCAGTGCGTGACACGTGGACCTCACCCTCGTCGAAAACAACTCCGCGGGCAGAACAAAGGTCGTGATGTTCAGCCCGAAATTCGAGAAGAAGAACGTCAATCCGTACAATGCAACAAACAGCCTATGATTCTCTCCCTTTAAGTACTCGTACTTTGCTCCGAGAATCAGCATGAAGACCGACATCATGAAGAACCCGATGAGTTGGATTAGGTATCGGCCCAGTTTCTCGATGAAGACGACGGTGAACCAGTAGCCTGGGAAAGTTCCGAGGAGGGCGATGATGAACATGGCTCTTGAAGTCTCGGAGACTTCTCTTAATGCGTTGATCTCGTTCGCCTCGCTGGTTAAATAAACCGCGAGGAAGATGTCCTTTTGGGTGAGATTCTGTCTGTAGAACGCGTCGAGCAAGAACCAAGTGCTCGTCGTTCCGATCAGATGACGGCCGTGACGGCTGAAGAATTCAGCAGAGAGAAGGGGGTAGTTGTTGTTGTTCTTGAACTCTTCAATTTTATTGGGCTCCGTTTGGATCTCGACTTCAAGAACTTTGCCCATATCGGTTGTCGCCTGCTTCGCGTTGCCAGCAATGAGAGCCGTGTATCGTCCCGTCTCCGGCATTTTCATCCGCCAGTAGTAGGTCACAATGGCTGGCAGAGCTCCGAGCATGAGAACAATTCTCCATAACCAATCGGCTTGCCTTTGTGTAGATTCAATAGGATTAGTGGCAAATCCGGGCACCGGAAATAAATGGAGAAAGAGCGCTGATAACGACATAGAGACATGCCCGGCGAAAATTATTCCAACGCCTTGCATAGCGAAGACGGCGGCGATGAAAGCGCCCCGAGTCTTCTTGTTCGCGTACTTTGACATGATCGTCGCCGAGAGAGCGTAATTGCCGCCAATGCCGAACCCGAGCCAGAACCGAAAGAAACATAAGGTGCCTATAACCGCTTTCGCCGAGGAGCCGAAGGATAAGCCGGAGCCAATAGCGCAGACGTGTTAGATCTTATAAAAAAACTTGAGATCTAAACCATAAAGCCATGATTAATTCAAAGAGATTTACAAGAATCAAAAGAAAAGAGCGGAAGCTTATACCTGAATCCATAGATTAAACTTGAGATGGGTTTTGGATCTTCTAACCTTAGGGTTTCTCTAGCCAAACTTCTCTCTAGATGGGGGTGAAGAGAATTAGAGAATGTAACCCTAGATTAGGGACCATAACCCCTTATTTAGAATGTAACCCTAGATTAGGGACCATAACCCCTTATTTATAGATATTGTACATTTGTAATTTGGCCCCTTATCAAATCATAATTACAACCTGGTATCTGCACATATAACTCCATGATTATATTTTAAATACCCATTAACCCAAATTGATTGATCACTTTAGTGGGTTATCCTGAAGGATAGCAATACGCACAGATTAATTATATGTGCCAACAAATAGATTTAATTAGATTTAAATCCAACAATCTCCCACTTGGGCACCATATGATTCCTTAAATTGTGTATAACCTTATGAGCTCAAAATTGCTATCACTGAAAAGATATTTCCGAACAATCTCGTCCATTGACTATATCAATATAGGATCAAAGCGGCCTTCGTCACGTATATCAATACAATCAAACGACATAGATCAATCATGGATATGCAGCATGAAAATTACATGCAATGTGATCAGTACATGTCTATTTTCAACTGGTCCTAATTTAGTGAGGTCAAAAACCAAACATAATGTAACATAGTGTCTTAACTGAATACTTTATTCTGATCAGACAATATAACCAAACACAGAGCACCACAATTACAAACTCTCACTAAATCATGGTATCCTCAAATAACACCACACCCATATGAGCAGTGTGCTCATGAAAGACCTTGGGTGGCAATCCCTTAGTAAGAGGATCAGCAATCATGGAGTTTGTCCCAATGTGCTCTATGGATATCTGTCCACTTTGTACCCTTTCTTTCACAACCAGGAACTTAATGTCAATATGTTTTGACTTAGTTGAGCTCCTGTTGTTATTGGAATACATTACTGCAGATTTATTGTCACAATATAACCTTAGTGGTCTTTCCATATTTTCCAAAATGTGCAGTCTCGTGACAAAGTTTCGCAGCCATATTCCCTAATTGGATGCCTCATAGCAAGCTACAATTCTGCTGCCATAGTGGAGGAGCTACAAGTATTTGTTTGACACTTTTCCATGATATAGCTTCTCCTGCTAACATATAAATATAGCCTGATGTAGACTTTCTGCTATCTTGGCATCCAGCAAAATCAGAATCAGAGTACCCAATGACCTCCAACTGTTCTGATTCTGTATGTGAGCATATAATCTTTTGTTTTCTGAAGATACCTCATAACCCTTTTGACTGCTATCCAATGATCCATACCAGGGTTGCTTAAGTATCTGCCTAACATCCTAACAATATACGCAATATCCGGACGCGTACATACCTGAGCATATATTAGACTTCCTACAGCCGAAGCATAAGGAATCTTCTGCATTTCCTGAATTTCAAGGTTACCTTTAGGGCACTGATTGAGACTAAATTTGTCTCCTTTAGCCACAGGGGTGTCTTCTGGTCTGTAGTCTTGCATGCCAAACCTTTTAAGTACCTTATCGATATAGCTCTTTTGTGATAATCCAAAAATACTCTGAGAGCGATCTCGATGTATCTGGTTTCCTAATATAAAAGAGGCGTCCCCAAGATCTTTCATCTTATAATTCTTTGATAGAAATCTCTTGGTTTCGTGCAGTATGCCTATATCATTAGTGGCAAGCAATATATCATCGACATATAGAACCAGAAAGATATACTTACTCCCACTGAACTTGTGATATACACAGTCATCAACAATGTTCATCTCAAAACCGAACGAGATAATTATTTGTTGAAACTTATGATACCATTGACGAGGAGCTTGCTTGAGTCCATAAATGGATTTCCTTAATTTGCAGACCATATTCTTTGGGTCTCCTGACACAAAGTTTTCTGGTTGCACCATATAAATCATCTCATCAATGTCTTCATTGAGAAAAACAGTCTTAACATCCATCTGATGTAACTTAAGATCATAATGAGCAACAAGTGCCATGATTGTTCTGAAAGAGTCTTTAGATGAAACCGGAGAGAAAGTGTCTGTATAATCAATGCATTCTTTTTGAGTATAGCCTTTAGCAACAAGACGTGCCTTTTACCTCTTCACATTACCGTTTGCATCCCGCTTGGTTTTAAATATCCATTTACAACCAATTAGTTTTGCACCTTCTGGTAACGGGACAAGTTCCCAAACCTTATTGTCTTGCATAGACTTGTACTCTTCATTCATGGCATCAATCTACTGTTGAGTGTTAGAACTTTTCATGGCCTGAAGGAAGTTGATTGGATCATGTTCCAACATTCCATTACTTTCCTCATGTTCTTGGAGAAATACAATATAATCATCCGGAATAGCATTTCTCCTTTCTCTCGTGGATCTCCTTAATGGCACTGGTTCTTGAGGTTGTTGAGTTTGTTCTTCTGGAACAGGGAGTTGTTCAACATTATCATCTTGAGGTTCCTGATTTACTTCTTGAGCAACAACAGGTATAGGAACCTGAATATTGTCAAAAGTAACTGTATGGATTGGATCTGAAGCCAATTCCTCCTCAAAACTAATGTCTCTAACCTTATTTCTCCCCCCAAACTCAACATCCTCAAAGAATGTTGCTGTTCCCGTCTCAAAAATATTCCTTATAGTGGGATCATAAAACTTATAGCCCCTAGAGCGATCAGGGTACCCAATAAAGTAGCTGCTAACTGTTTTGGAGTCCAATTTCTTTTCATTTGGCCTATAAGGCCTTGCCTCAGCTGGACATCCCCAAATATGTAAATGCTTTAAACTGGGCTTTCGACCAGTCCAAAGCTCATAAGGTGTTTTAGCAACTGCTTTACTTGGTACTCTATTCAGAATGTAAGCTGCTGTCTTAAGTGCTTCTCCCCAGAGTGACTCTGGTAAAGAAGAATGAGCAATCATACTTCTTACCATATCCTTAAGAGTCCTGTTTCGTCTTTCAGCTACACCATTCATGCTAGGTGAACCCGGCATAGTGTACTGTGGGACGATACCGCATTCCTCTAGGTATCTAGCAAATGGTCCTGGACGTTGTTCACCTGAACCATCATATCTACCGTAGTACTCACCACCACGATCAGATCTGACGGTTTTAATTCTTCTGTTGAGTTGATTCTCAACTTCAGCTTTATAGGCTTTGAACATGTCCAGAGACTCAGATTTTTCATGAATAAGATATAGGTGCCCATAACGTGAGTAATCGTCTATGAATGATATAAAATATTGTTGACCATTCCAGGATTCCGTAGGGAATGGCCCACAAATATCCGTATGTATCAATTCTAAGACATCCGAAGATCTGTTGGCACCTAATCTCTTCACTTTGGTCTGTTTTCCCTTGATACATTCAACACATACGTCGAAGTCCGAAAAATCAAGGGAATCCAAAATGCCATCAGACACAAGACGCTCAACTCTACCTTTTGAGATATGACCTAAGCGCTTATGCCATAATGTCGCCGAATTTTCCTTATTTAATTTACGCTTAGTACCACGTGATTCCACATGCAAGGATTCATTGTAAGAAGCAATTGTATCAAGCAAATATAGGTTGTCATAAATACTCAAGTAACCGGTTCCCACAACATTTGAATTAAAAGATAAACTGAATTGACTGTTTCCAAATGAACAAGAATAACCTGATTTGTCCAATACAGAAACAGAAACCAAATTCCGTCTAAAAGACGGTACTACAAAAGTATCTTTTAAATCCAAATAATAACCAGTTCCTAACAACAACCTAAAGTGCCCAATTGCTTCCACATCTACCGATTGTCCGTCGCCCACAAAGATGTGTCTTTCAACATCACTTGGCTTTCGGTAGCTCAGGCAACCCTGCATAGAAACACTTATGTGAGTAGTAGCACCAGAGTCTAACCACCAAGTGTTTCTAGGTACTGAAGCTAAATTAACCTCAGAACAGACCAAAGTAAGGAACGTACCCTTATTAGCACGCCGGGCGTGATATTTTGTACAATCCTTCTTTACGTGTCCAGGTTTGTTACATAAGAAACAACCCTGATTGTCCTTATGTTGTTTCTTCTGAACTGGACCCTTAGCAGCTTCATTATCATTCTTCCTTTTCTTGCCCTTATCCTTAGAGGCATAGGCCAAATGAGCACTTTCTGTCTTATCTTGCTTCAACCTGTCTTCTTCTTGCACACAGTATGAAATGAGCTCATTTAGAGTCCATTTCTCCTTTTGGCAGTTATAATTGACCTTAAACTGAGTGAATTGTGCAGGAAGAGATAACAAAACCAGATGCACCAATAACTCATCACAAAGATTGAGTTTAAGTGCCTTAAGCTTTGAAGCAATATGAGACATTTCCATAATGTACTCCCTGATATTTCCTTTGCCCTTATACTTCATTGAAATCAAGCGAGCTAAGAGTGTGCTTGTTTCTACCTTATCGTTTTTCGCAAAACGCTTCTCAATTTCGGCAAGGAAATCTTTAGCATTAGTAATCCCTTCGGATTCTATGCCCCTGAAGGTTTCCGGAACGCCACGCTTAATGATTATAAGACTCATGCGATTTGAACGCTCCCACTTCTCATACTCCTTCTTTGCATCAGGAGTGCTATCCGCATTGAGAGGTTGGGGTTGTTCAATTCTTAATGCAAAGGTCTAGATCCACGCAGCCAAGAACAATTAATATGTTCTATTTCCAAACCTTGAAGTTTGTCCCATTTAGCATGGGAATTGAGTTGATGTTAGCAGAAATTGTTGCAGCAGATGCATTAGCTGAAATAAAACAAAAATGCTCACATCAATAACCATAATTAGTAATCAATAAAATTCAAATAATGACGAATCTCATCCAAGATATCTGGCACAACATTAATATCAAGTCTTTGGACAGTAATATTAACTTGTAAGTGATACCTTGTTGCAATGATCAAACATTGACAATAACTCATGTCAAATAATGAAACTATCTTTGGATCGATTCATTATTCACATGTAAACCTTATAATTATCATACGCTTATCATCGCAGATGTGTATACAGTCTAAATAAATATTAACTTTCCTTTGGGCCGATTAAATATTTACACGAAAGCATACACACAAACATCTCACATTCTTCATGAACAATCTACACAAGAGAGGTTACTTTGGCAACTTCTTGTTTCAATTAATCAATTGGAGTGAGAGACAACCTTAATACCTTAGTGTCATAATATTTGAATTAAATAATTGATTAAAAACCAAATTAAATTTAAATTAAATTAATTTAAATTTCCATAGCTTAAATAGCGCCCATAACTTAATTGAATAAATTAAGTATACCAAAGTGGACCCATAATTTAATATGAGAAGCCGAGGCTTAACCATAGTGAACACGAAGTTCGCTTAACTTCGAACGCGAGGTTCATCTGTATTGAGTACGAGACTCACCTAAGCATGAACGTGAGGTTCGTCTGAAAATGAACGTGATGCTCAACTTGAGAACGAATGTGAGGTTCGTTTGAAAAATGAACGTGAGGTTCGACTGAAAATGAACACAGGGTTCAACTTGAGAACGAACGTGAGGTTCGTTTGAAAAAAGAACGCGAGGTTCGACTGAAAACGAACACAGGGTTCAACTTGAGAATGAACGCGAGGTTCGTTTGAAATATGAACGCGAGGTTCGACTGGAAATGAACGCGAGGTTCGACTTAAATTGAGCGCGAGGCTCACCTTAGAACTGAGCGCGAGGATCACCTTAGAACTGAGCGCAAGGCTCACCTTAGAACGAACGCGAGGTTCGTTTGATTTGAGCGCGATGCTCACTTGAGAATGAACGCGAAGTTCGTTTGAAGCTTTCAAGCCTCGCCAAAATCTGAGGTAACCACCTCCTTAATTTTTGCCACGTTTTCACGCATGAACCCCTTGAGGGTTTAATCTGAAACCGCCGCCGCCATTGCTCCCACACCCAAACGTCGAAACCCTAGTGTTTCCTAATGCCGTCATCATCGTCGGAGTCGAGAGCGAGGCCGCCAGCGACACTTCGCCGGCGAGGAGCACGGGGACCGACGATCAAACAAGAAAATAGATCCAAAAAGTTCCTCGATTTTATTTCAAAATCAGATCCAGAATAAAAGATGACCTTTTGATCCAAAATTGAAAGAAAAAACCAAACAAAAGGAAATATTTACTGTTCATCCAAAAAAATAAAAAACGTAACTGTTCATCCGAACGTTATTGTTCATCCGAGAACAATTCTTAATCAAAACCAGAGATTTTAAGATAAAAAAACCCAAATTTTTAAGAACTTAAACCCCTAAAAATTAATCACATGTGGCTCTGATACCACTTATTAGATCTTATAAAAAAACTTGAGATCTAAACCATAAAGCCATGATTAATTCAAAGAGATTTACAAGAATCAAAAGAAAAGAGCGAAAGCTTATACCTGAATCCATAGATTAAACTTGAGATGGGTTTTGGATCTTCTAACCTTAGGGTTTCTCTAGCCAAACTTCTCTCTAGATGGGGGTGAAGAGAATTAGAGAATGTAACCCTAAATTAGGGACCATAACCCCTTATTTATAGATGTTGTACATTTGCAATTTGACCCCTCATCAAATCACAATTACAACCTAGTATCTACACATATAACCCCATGATTATATTTTAAATACCCATTAACCCAAATTGATTGATCACTTTAGTGGGTTATCCTGAAGGATAGCAATACACACAGATTAATCATATGTGCCAACAAATAGATTTAATTAGATTTAAATCCAACAAGACGACCATAAGAATTAAGGTCACGCCGTAGACACGCTTGCGGCCAAGCTTGTGAGGGTACCGATGAGGGCGACTCTGGTGACGATGTTGTTGACGTCAGGGGAGAGTTTACCGGGTTGTTTGGAGGAGCCCTCGTAGAAGTAGAGGCGGCCAAGGAGTTTGGAGATGGTAGAGATGCAGAAGAGGTCGTAGGCATCGGTGAAGAACCCCATTCCGGCGATGACGATGGTTGTTATGTGGTACCATTGGGTTCGGGCGGTGTCGAGGGCCGTTAGCACGGCGAGGCCGTTGGAGGAGGAGGACATATGGTTGCTATGTTGAGGTT